GGCACACCCATCGCCCTCTGTTCTGACGTCGAGACTTTTATGGATACGAAATTCCAAACAAAATGGTGTTCACCGAACATGTGCCAAGTTCACGACCTAGTGTCTGCTCGATGAATGTTATCAATGCTATTATTCGGGTTTTCTTCCTCGTTGCAGATAACACAGCACAGCACCTTTCGACCCTGCTCACTTTGTGAATTGATTATTTTTGCCCGCCTAGGTTGTGGCGCATCTCTTCGAGCACATAATTTAACAAAATGCGAAAATTTCCCGATTATCAACGTCCTATCAGGGACCAAGCGCAGTTAATAATAGCGTGATTCGCAGGTCTTCTCCTAATAGGACCCAGCGCGCAAATTTGAATGATCATTGTAATAAGCTAAGACAAGTTTTCAATAGCTATTGGAGGAATTTTTTAATTATGTCTGGGATCTTTCAAGTTTCGGCTGCACATAGACCAAAGCGACATTTTATAAACGTCCCTCACTGTTAAAGGACCGTTGCACGTGAGAAAATGGGCGGAACAAGTGCAAATATCGATTCTATCCAATCAAGAAAATGATATTTAACGACAGCAGTCATGAGGGACTTGTGTATGCCAAGACCTGTTGTCGAGAAAAACCGTTAGGTGTTCGGATGCGTTGTCCCCATTTGTTTTGATTTTTAGTTATAATAACATATTTTATTATTGACTGAAGTCTTGGTTTTATTGATGAGTTGTTCGGTAACAGATCAGATAGACAGTCGTGCTGTGCTGTCTCTTTGCACAAAAATCTACCTTTATTCATCATATCGCATTATCTTTGACTGTTCCGCCACTAGTAATAGCATAGGACCTACCTAAAAGAAGAAAAATCTTTTTTTTTCCGGCAGCAGGAACGTAATTATTCGTTTTGAAGGGATTAAAAACAGAGCGATCGTAAACATATCCCAACAACGTTTTACATTTTATTCAAGAAAGAATGTGTCGATTTATGTGTCGTACCAGATCGTTGTTTGATGTGAAAATACACACAACGTCTCAATTTCGACGTCATCATCTGGCAAGGAGGAAATTGGCGGAACTTCCTTGTTCTCGCTTCCTTCGTTCGTATTTGACTATTGGGAATTCTTCTGTTCCGTGGTTACATGCCACACAATAGTTACTATAAAACTAAAGAATAGAAAATACTATACGGATTTAGCGGTGTGCTGTGTAAGTGCTAAGGAGCCGATCGATTTTTACACAGCGCGCTTGCGTGATCAGCTGACTGACGATGTGCACGTTCACTTTCATTTTCATACATCTTTCATCGATATGATACATTCATTGCTGGTACGTGATTGTTTTTCACAGGACTATCAGTGAGGATTTATCTATTGAACGTTTCTGTGCTTGTTTATTGATTCTCTATTAATCATATGCATTCTTGATTGCGGGGCTGCTTCGTTCCTCTTCGTTCTTTGAAAGGACTTTTCTTAGTTTTAAATAATCTCATACCCTTTTAAATAACCTCATATCAAACTGCAATTTTCACTAGTTCTTGTGGGAAAGTTCTATTTTGAGTTTTTTGTCGTTGTTACCAGCTACTTATCCTTCATAATCATTTATCTTGGGCATCAGATCATTTTCAGTTCACGTTTTATGGCGATTTGAAAATCGCCGCCATTTCTCAAAGAGTGATTGAAGCGACGAATTCGAACCATTAGAATGTTACGATTGCATGACTTCTATCCGTCTCTGGCTGTTAACGTCTACGCCTTCGCTATTCTGCTTATTCACACCATCTCTGTAAATGGACAGTTTGTTGTTGAAGTGGTATGTTTTTGTTTTACTTAGTGATTCATACATTATGGTTTGCTTTCTTTTCGTGTCATTCAAAGCTTGTGCTTCTCAAAATAAGCAGTATATTGGAGCGTTTCAGTAAATTAAGCTGTAAAATTTAATGTGGTGCTTTTTTTCAAGTTGGAGCCAGCTCGTATGGGCATTCGACGTTCAGTACAACGTTGTGAGGCTACTGGAGCAAACTTTGGTGCTGATATAGTTACCTTTTCATTTGGTCATGAAGCCATCGGATGTGCCACACATGCGGATCCGATTGAAGCATGTACAGATGTGACGGTAAGTGGTTGTGCGGTGGCGTATGGAATATATAGACGTCATTGGCTGATTTTCACAATTATTTTATTCACCAGCATTGAAATGTTGGGAAAAATTAGGCATAAAGATTCGAAGAATGAAACACTGTTTTCAGCGATTTTCTTTCCGGGCTTTGTGACTCTTAGCGACTTCGTATCGGTTTCATTTTTTCTTCAAAATATGCTTTCCATTGACATAACCTATTTATGTGTAGAGTCATTTTCATTCGCGTAAGGTGTTTTGAAATACAGAAAATTCAAAAACGTGCTTACATTCCTTTTAAAGTAAGTTTTATCTCATTTATACCTTCATCTCCAGTTCTTTATAGACAAAACGGTTCAATTTGAAGTTTTACTTGCAACTTGTGTCTCACCAGAATCGGCAGTTGTATCATTAGCGGAGAGTTTCGGTCACTTTGACAGTGCCGTTGAACACTTACCGTTTGGCAAAGAATCTTACGGTATTGAATGTTCATTGTAATCGAGTTAGTGTGAATTTCAGCTATGCAGCGTCTCTGAGACCGCTGAAGTCATGCCGCTAGTACTTATTGACGCGGTTATGCTGCGGACAGCTTTGTACAGTAATTTTTTAAGATGGTGATAAGTGAATACTCAGGATTAAGTGGAAATTTAAGTTTAGCTTCCCATAGATCATTGAGGTTCAACAAAAATTAGAGATTAAAAAAAGTGATGTCGATTAAACAATCATATTGTCCTGGACCATTTGTGTATACTTTTTGAACTAATGCGTCTAGCTGATGATCAGTAGCTTTCAAATGTATTGGTTCGTTGGAACCGTATGATTCAGTGTTAGTAGAAGTTGCGATATCCATCCTGCCCCTATCTGCTTTAATTTATGGGATGAACCACAAACGCATATGTGTTCAAGCGTTTTGGGAATGAGCCAGTAGAGAATGAATTTATGAATGATAATCTTCTCGAACAGTGGTACAAGCAAAGAAGTTTCTTAACTCTTTTTTCAACACTTTTTTAGTTCTTAACTGCGCTTAGTCGGTGGCAGAAAGCGATCTGCAGCAAACTAAATGTTCTTCGAAGTTCAGTTGTTTTTGTAGCAGAAAAAAAAGCAGAAAACACTGTTTTAGAAGAAGCTATCAAAACTGTAGCCATATCTCATCTATCACACAAAAAATCACTTTCACATTCTATGTGTATATCTGAGACGATATCCAACCATTCCAACTTATTTCACAGGATTACGAATTTTGAATTTTGGTTAGTATGCGAATTCCAAGCAGTAAACGATGAACTACACATACTGTTTTCCCTGAGAATAGGACTCATATTCTGCGGATCTTCCCCTGGATATGTACCAATACGACTATCCATCACATCTGATAAACCGTAAATACTACATTTTGACCATTTTCTGGGTCCTTTTTTTAAAGCAGGATTAGGAGAGAATCCCTTCCTTTTGGCAAAGAAAAAGAAACGGTGAGAAGGAAATTGAAATGCTAAAGTTGCAAGCGTTTTCCGACATCCGTCGCCTTTTGCCTTTAGTTCACATGCTCCCTCCCTCCTATCTCCCATCTTTTGCGTGTAACAAAGCTTGTGGTAAGTGAACCTTATCTTTGCCGCTCTCATTTTTTTTCCTTGCATACCGACTTTCTGACATATTTCTGCTTTCATATAAAAAGAATATGTCCAGTTATTGAGTCATCTATGGAGTTCAAAATATGTTTGCAATTATATCATTTATGTTTTAGTACCCTTCCAACATCACCCTCTGCGACTCAAATTTCGCCATAGTTCCGAGAGGCAATTGCAGTTTTTCGGAAAAGGTTTTCCCATGTCTTATTAAATCTTGTTAACTTTTCTTATTTGTCATGATTATAGGCGTATCATGTGCAGCGTGCCGAACCGTCGGGATTTCAGGCGCTAATTGTGTATAACTCAGAGGGCAAACCTCCTATAGACATGGCCGGAAGCAAATATGCTGATCTGGTAGGTTTATATTACTTCAAAATTTGGTAGCGTTATTATCTTTTCTTCCCGAAACATTTGACGTTCTGTTTCAAACGTTTTTGCACTTGAGCTATCAATTTGTTAATTAATGTCTGAAGAACCAGTTTTCTACTTTTTGTTTCGCCGTTATCAGTGTTTCTAGGTCCGCATCCCAGTACTGATGATCTCTTACCAGTGTATGTTAGCCATTAACAATACATATCCAGCCAGTCAAGGGTAATTTTCAGCTGTGTGGCCTTGTGCTATTCTTATGAAATAGTTGCCTGATCATCTACTGTTCAGGTATATCGTACAGGTCAAAGTATCGCCAGGTTACTACGATCTATTCCGTTATCTTATTCCATTTGTTGTCGTCGTAGGATTCTGTTTCATCGTGTTGCTCATCAGTTTGGTACGTAAGGTGGATTCCCCTTTCATTTTATTAGCAAATGTCACAGATTTGCTCATTTAAAGATATTCAAGGCGATTCGCTTATGCCGCGAGCGTCGACGCGTTGCACGCAAGCGCCTTTCTAAAAGGAATCTTCGCAAAATCCCTACAAAAAAGTTCCGAAAGGGTGCGTTACACTAGCCTCTTTTATTCTTTATGCTTCTGATTCTTCGACCATGGTTTAGGTGATGAACCAGAAACTTGCGCAATTTGCCTCGATGATTTCATTGAGGGAGAAAAACTGCGTGTTCTGCCATGTCGACATAGTGAGTTGAATATTATTTTATATCACAGTAGTGAATTGTCTAAGAATTTTTCCACAGCTTATCACTGTAAGTGTATCGACCCATGGTTAACTCAAAATCGCAAAGTTTGTCCGATGTGCAAGAGACGAGTGGGCGCGAAGAACTCTGATTCCGAGTCGAGTGACGAAGAAAGGCGTCCAGAGGTTTGCAACATGTTGTTAGAGGAAAAACTCTACACATAAAATTTCTTCCAGCAGCCATCTTCTTCTCGAAGTACCTCTATTGCTCATACTTACCTTGAAGACGAGGAGCGCACTGAAACCCCAATACGTAAGTGTGTTTTTAATGTCTTTCCTGGAATTTAGGGTGTATCTGATTCAAAACGAGAATTTCAATTTTGTTAACAGATTATCTTATGATTTTACATATTTGAGGCACGTGACTTTTAGTTCACATTCTTGACGCATTCCGTAATTTTTTTTCTCAAGTTGACTTGAAATACGGGCAACTCTTCTCACCTATAGATTCAAAATATCTCACGGCATTTCTTTGCATAGGAAAACGTCCTTTCAATACTCTTTGTTCACCTCTGAATAAAAATAGTTTTTCTTTAGTGTCAGCATCAACAAGCCAAGTCTTGGCAGATGTACATCACAGTGATATTGGCGGATCTCGTGAGCAACTGGTGGAAACAGACGACGGAACGTTGAACTCAGAAAGGGGAGCTACAGATGACGAAGCTGAGACTAACACCTTATCACAGTCTTTGAAGAACAAACTCAAGGGATTCTTCACAAAAGCATCATCTCGTCAGCCAACAGATGTCAGTTTTTGAAACTTTTTTGCTCTGTCTCTTTTAAATTGGGGATTTTGAGGTTTTTGCATTTTTTCTTCCTATTTACAGATCTTTTTAGGGTTCTGGAGAAGTGAACGGAGCTTACGAGGGTGGAAATACTCCTCCGGCTGATACTATCTCTGTACAAACTGCCATTTTCGAAGATGTGTCGCTTGAGGATGGGTAGGTATCATCAACATTTCTACATGAACTTTCTTTCAAAATATTGTGCCCTCAAAGTGTCTCTTGATTGGTGTCACGTATGGCCTACTTTTTTTGTAACTAAAGCTCGCGAAATTCTTACATTTGATGGAATTTGTTTAGAAATCTTTGAATAATGCAGGCTTTGTGTTGAGTGGAGACATGTGCAACAGCCCTCCTGCACTTCTATTCAACTGCTTCCTTTTTTCCAA